AACCACAGGTTGCTTTGTGTTACTGTTGTTGAGTGTTTTTTTGTTTAAGTTACATGGAACCAGGCAGAGGGCCTTCTCGGTAGTGGCGCCCACCCTGTGGAACGCCCTCCCACCAGATATCGAGAACAACTACCAGACTTTTAGAAGACATCTGAAGGCAGTCCTGTTTAGGGAAGCTTTTAATGTTTGATGCACTGTTGTATTTTAATATTATTATTATTATTATTATTATTATTATTATTATTATTATTATTATTATATAGGGGGGTTATTATCTGATTACTGGCTGCTATTACTAAAATTGAATTTAGGATATATTAATAACTATGATAGTAAGTTTATGAGGCAGGAGTGAGGAACCAGTTGTTTTCCAAACGTTGTGGGACTCTACCTCCCACTAGCCCCAGCATGCATAAATGATTATAGAATTATAGCGTTGGAAGGAACCTTGAGGATCATCTAGTCCAACCCCTTGCAATGCAGGAATCTTTTGCCCAGTGTGGGGTTCGAATCCATGAACCTGAGATTAAACACCCCATGCTCTATTTACTGAGCTGTCCCAGGTCCCAGGGATGTTAGGAGTCACAGTCCAGCATCTGGAGGGGACAAGCTTGCTGAGTGACCTTGGGCCACTCACTCACTCACACTCATGCTTAACCTACCTCACAGGGTTGTTGTAAGAATAAAATGGTGAGAGGGAGAACCCCGTACATTAACTTAAGCCCCTTGAGTTTTCCGTTATTAATTAAAGACACATTTCTTCACCCAGGTCTTTGGGAATCTTAACGTTTGTACCATGCCATCTATATTGATTTACCAGGTACAGTACTGTGTTGTTGCTATGAGGTGTGAAATGTTAGGTTTAATGTTTTGTGTTTTATTGGATGTACAGTGGTACTTCTGGGTAACCCACTTACCACAATTCGTTCTGGAGGTCCGTTCTTAACCTGAAACTGTTCTTAACCTGAAGCAGCCACTTTAGCTAATGGGGCCTCCTGCTGCTGCTGCGCCGCCAAAGCACGATTTCTGTTCTCATCCTGAAGCAAAGTTCTTAACCCGAGGTATTATTTCTGGGTTAGCGGAGTCTGTAACCTGAAGCGTATGTAACCTGAAGCATATGTAACCCGAGGTACTACTGTAATGATATTGTTGTATTTTTATTGCCTTGTTTTTTGTAAACTATCCTGGGGTCTTTTGACAAAGGGTGGTCTACATAGAGCATTGTGCCAATGTTAAGTGACTTACTCCAAAGTAGTCACATTAAATGGGTTAATTATTCCAGACAAGGTTAGCAGCTTGAAGATCAAAGCCACAAATTGCAGCAATTGTTATTTATATAACAGTGGTATTAAACAGGGATCTGTCCTTGAAGGTGTGAAAGAGAAATGAATGAATTCACCCAACGCTGGGCATGCAGGAAAAGGAAAAGTCTGCCACCTGTGCCAGGAAATAATTATTGTTTATTGTTTGTGCATGTTTCAACCTGCCTCCAAGAAAGCCTTTAGATGTCATACAAGGGGGGTTGGGGGGGGGCTTCTGCTCCCATTATATCAGTGTAGTAAGGATTCTATAGCAATGCTTCACTGCAGCACAAACAGGGACCAGTTACAACCATGGGGAAAGTAAATTTTGCAAACTAAATTCAGGAGCAGCAGTACTACTTTATATTGCTGAAAGCAGCAGCCTAAATATGCCACAACCACCAAAAATATTTTGCTGATTCCCCAGTGGACTAAACTGAAGGCCTACGCAGCTTTTTTTTTCACAGGCATTCTGCCATTCTAAACATAGTACGAGCAGACTAAACGCAAACCAACTGACCATCAGGTCACATCAAGGTAAGCTACACTCAGTCAAGACACTTGTAAACTTTCAGGGATGTCAGAAAAATGATGAATCAATGAGGCAACATTAAGCAGAGGGCTGCTATCTCAGGTGAGCAATACTTTGTTTTTAAAAAGACTCCCCCTCACCTCATTTTACCAAGTTATTTGCAGACCAGCAGCACAAGTCAGTAGCTAATGCTATTAATAGTTCTGCCCTCTGAACAAATTGGAGATTACAAACAGCACCAGCCACGGTTCTAAAGCAGCAGCATTCAACAGTTTGAGATATAGGGTCCACTTTTAACTACAACCTGCAACATGAGACCCACTTTGTTTGTTTTTTCTTAACCATATACATCTACCTTCCTTCTTTTTCTACAGGCAAGAGCAGGGCTTCTGTACCTTTCAGAGTTGCATTGTAGGCGAAATGGTGAGAAGCTGCAAGCGCTGAAATTTCCCATTTATACACAACTATCAAAGATACAAGTGATCTATCATCCTTTACATCTCGTTACACACACACAGCCCCTCTTAAACATAATAAATTGGTGGGAATGCCACTGTGGTTAGTGACCTCAGACTGTCATGCCAACCCCAGTTGAAGATCAGTGGTCTAGCAGGGGCCGAGAACTTCCAATCCTAATTAGGCTCAGCAGGAGTCCTGATTGGACTTCTAAATGACTGCTAACTAAAAAATGCTCATAAAACTTTCATATGTATGATGTATGTATGATGTAACTTGAAAAGTTATCTTCACTGATATCAATGTGATTTTAGAATCCAAGTGTTACAGCCTTATCTTAATTATACTTTCATAACCACACATTTGTTTCTTTGCTCCACATGTTGCCATCCCCCCCTTTCTCTGTTGTTTCTGCATCTATTTTGATTAAGTCCAGTGGGGTAGGAACATGTTCCTTGCAAAACGCCACAGGTGCACAGATGGTGCAAACACTGGTCATCAGGGATCGCTCCCAAGGCATGCAAATTTAATTTGTTGGAGTAAATTTAATTGAAGGGAGTCTGCTTCTGAGCAGCAGTGTCTGGACAGGCGACCAAAGTTACCCTGACTGAGCTGCTTGAAAGAGTGGATAATAAATAGAACTATCAATCATATTGCGTCTTCACCTCACCCTCCGTTTCTCCAATTTGGTGTCACTTTGATTCTGCATGGAGACCAGACTGGTGTTTAAAAAAATGTAATGCTACTCTAACAACCATGTAACAGGCAGAAATCAAACAAGGGGAACTTTTTGCAGCATAGAGATGCAGCAATGGGAGAGGTCTGAGCTATCGATCCTCATGTCTTCATTTTATGATGCAGTTATTAAAAGGTGCAAAGCCTCTTGCCTGATAAGTGGATAGGGAGGTCGAGGGAAAATGAGGTAATCCTCGAGGGAAAACAAGGTCAAGGCAGGATCACATTACTGAGTTCGCTAACGTAGAGAGGATAGTTGCATTCACCTCTTACTTCTTCCCCTCTTCAATTATTCTAGAATGTAAGTTATTTGCGGGCAGAGACCTGTCTCGTTTGCCTAGTGCTGGGCTAGGACCAGGGGGCAGAGCTTTTTCCATTCCCACCTACCCAAGAAGAGGAGGGGGGTGCTCCCCTTTTTATAAGCTTTTATAACCTGGAAAGATAAGGGGGGAAGATTGCAATTCCCAATGCAAAACTCTTGCCGTGGCTGATTCCTCCGCAAATCATTGCCTAGCAGGCCACATCGCCCCATCCCCACCCATCAGTGGCGGCCAGCAGTAACCCATTTTACACACTCTCTCAGCCTAACCTACCTCACAGGGTTGTTGTAAAGATAAAAGTGGGGAGGGGGGACGTGTTCCCTCACACAGCCCCCTCCTTTCCCTGGAGATGAGCATACAAAGTAAAACACAGGAGTCAATTCCTAGGGGCCGAGGTCCCTTCGCTCCCCCCAATAAAATATTTGAGGGGGTCAGGACCCTCACCCCCCAAAAAGTTGATGGGCACTGTCATTCCCATGGTGCGCATGTGCCATGTCTTGTGATCGATTATGCGGAACGGGGCTTACCTGAGCCCCCCCCCCCGAATATTTTATTCCAAGTTGGCACCCCTAAAACTAAAATAAATGAGGATTTGTGCCCGCAGTCAGTGATGATTTCTTCAAAGGAAGGGCACTTTAGGATACGGGCACTGTTGGCACTCATCTTTATGACCACCCTTTTTCAATGTATGTATACAGAACGGGGAACAAAAGCTTTGAAAGTGACCTTGCTGGGCGCTAAGAAACAGGCGGCGGAAGAAGGAAATGCGACCGTTTATTTCGCCCATGCGAGGTTTTTTAACAGCCCCCCCCCCCGCGCGCCCGCCCTTCCTCAGGAGGAATGCGGGCCACGCCCTTCCTCCGCCAAGAGCCCCGATAGGCCAGGAGGAAGGAAAGGCGGGCCCGGCTCGGAGAAACTCCCTCCCCCTCCTCCGGCAAAGCGCAGCCTCTTCTTGCGAGCCCGCCCTTTTTCTCCCCTCTCAGCCTCTTTGCGTCTAACAGAGCCAGGAGGAATGCGCTAAGAAGAACGAGGAGGAACTCATCCGCGGAGGCGGCTTCGGCTTCAGCAAGCTTCTTGACCCACCAATGGAACAAGGCAGGCCGAAGAAGACGAGAATGTGAAATCCTTCCGCCGGTAAGGAAACCGTTGATATAAGAAAAAAGGAGAGAGAGAGGGGGGGGGTAAGAAAGAGGAGGGGGGGCGGGGGCGGGGCGGTGGAAGCTGAACGGGAGAGGCTCACGTGAGAGTCGCCCTTCAGCCAATAGGAGCTTCGGAGCCCGGCCGAACGGAGGCTTTTATAAGCCGCGGCTCGTCACAAAAAAGGAGAAAGGGGGGGGGGGAAACCCGCCCACGACACAAGGGAAGCTGTCACGCGGCGGGCTGGGCGTTCGGCGCTGCTGCTGTTGCTGCTGCTGAGGGAACGCGGTGGGCGCGCGCGCACGGGGGCGCGCTCTCGCTTGCCGGCGGCGGGATAAAGGGGGGAAAAGGGGGTGGGTGAGGAAAGGCGGGGCGGCGGCGGCGGCGAGTTCCACCTGGCGCGCGGCCGTCGCTGAGGGGGCCTGACAGACAAGAGGCGGGGTGGGTGTCAAACTTCCCCGCTCTCTCCATTCCCCGCTGCCCGAGCGGGACCCCGACCCTAAAGCTGACCAGGTCAGTCTCTCTGAGGAGGGTATGTTGCGTGTGTGTGTGTCTGTGTCTGTCTTGACTGTGGTCTTGACACGGGCCCTGGGGCGGAGCGGGGCGTTTGTCTGCCGGTGGGTGTGTGAGAGAATGAAGGAAAGACAGGGGAGGGTTAGGTGTCAGCTCTTGCCTTTCGGCCTGAGGCGATGCCTGGGGCCGCCGAGTAGGTGGAGGTGAGGAGGAGGTGGTTGTGGTGGCTGTGAGGCTGCTCTTGTGGCAGGTGCTACTGAAAAGGATGCCCAGGAGGAAGGGAGGCCGAGATTCCTTGCTGGTATTGAGGTTTATTTTGATTTTTGGGGGGGCGGGGCAGGGAGAGGCAGCCCAATTTCCTCCAATATGTAATCAAACTCTAGGTTTTTAAAAAAACAACAACCCGAAGTTAACCCGTCATCTCCCTTCCCACGTGTATAATCCAGGCTCCCCTTCCCAGCTGGCCAGAAAGACGCAATGGGCAGACGAGGCGAGGTACACCCTTTTTCAGCTAAGGCAGGGAAACTGCGGCCCTCGGGATACTTGCAAGGCTGAAATCCCTGCCTGCCTTCTTCCCATGGCCTTGGTTGGCCGGGAGTGGGAATTTCCTGGCAACATCCAGAGAGCTGCGTGTTCCCCAACCAGTGTGTCCCTTTTAAGTTGCTAAAGAAGAAAGAAGCTGCACTGGGGTCGTCTTGTTGATGGAAGCATCTGTGGTCTCTTAAATCGTGACCTGCGCACAAGACACGAGGGAGGGAGGTTTAGCAATGGAGCACATACTTTACATGTGGAAGTCTTAGTCTGCAGGTAGGGTTGGGGAAGGCTTCTTTTTTTCTGAAAACTTGGAGGACTGCTGCTGTTCTTTGGCTGTATTGAGGAAGATAGGCAAAGGGTCTCACTTGAAGTGCTTCTAGATGTCACAACTAGAGCCATTGCTAAATCCTGGCTGATGGCCCATATGCAAATTTAATTGAGATGTAAAGAATTATAGTTCGGAAGTAAGAAGCAGACATTGTTTATCTTTAGATTGGTATCAGAGCAGGCATTGGCTTGTATCCAAAGTAGTGCTTAAGTCTCTTGTTCTGTTAGGACAAATATTTACCATTGCACCTTTCCTTCCCCTTGTGTGCCCTCTAAATCAGTTCTGAGGGTTCCCACAACCCTCTAGAGCAGACTTTGGGATTGCTAGAGGAAAGTTCCACTGCACAAGTATAAATCCTTGGGCCAGTGGAACAAGGGCATTGCATACTCCATTATCTTAGAAGAGGCATTCCCACATTTTGAAAAGAGTACAGTACTGCTTAAGTACTATTTAAAATATGCATGTATTTATATTTTAAAAGAAGTTGTCCAGGGACATTTCTATTACATTAACTGATTTTAAAAAATCAGTCCAACCAATTGATCATCACAGTTTTGATAATCATATTTCCTCCTGCCTTGAAACCTAAGCAGTGAATAAGACCTCATCAGCACAACAATTGTTCCTAGGCCTTGTGGTCTATGATTGGATGCACAGGCTTCCTAGAAATGAGAAGCTCTTTTAATTTGTTGTCAAGACACCACCATAGTGAAAGTAAGAAGTTATCCTTGCAGATAGAATAGCTGATGAGATACTAGTGGTCTTGCAGTTCTGCCTGTCTTCCACTTGAATTGGCTATGGACCAGTTTGATTCCTTGTAGCTGAGTTGAATATTTATTGTAATGAATCCCTCTGTATGTATGGATTGTAGACATCATCTGTGCATAGTTTTAGCACCACCAATATCCCAGATAAGCGTTCCCTAATAAATATGTACATGTATATAAAACCCTCAACAAGTTAGGGGTATGAGAGAAAAAAGGAAGGCACTATTGGATAAGTCGCTTTGTAGAGGGAGGCTCCATCCCTCTCTCTGTTAATGATGTGCACCTTTTTCAGATTACCCATGAGCATATTTAATGTGGCATATATGTGTGCTTTTAAATTCCACAGAGCAGGAATCTAATATGTTTGCTAATGTTTGTTAGGCCAACAGAGCTGGAATAATATTGAGCACCTTAGTTTGTAGCAACTAAGGGGGATTTTACATTGTCCCATGCAGAGCTGGTACCTATAATTTTGATTGTGGCTCTAATCAACTAAAGTTGGTGCTTAGCTTTTTTTAAAAAAAAAAGTTCTCCAGCCCTGCTTTAAAAGGATGAGTGTGCTTGTTGCTCTTTAGGTTGGGCTGACAGATGAATCATGCGTGAACTGAGTGCTATGTTGTTCAGCAAGAGGGATGACGAGCAGTGAGTTGGGGCTGCAGTAGGATTAGACAATGCTGCTGAGAGATGGCTGTGCTGCAGTTGCTGCTTCTTAATGCTTGTCACTACAAACAAACTGTTTGTCTTTCTGTCCCCCTTCAATGTTGGAGACCTCTTCCTCCTTCTTTAATAAACTCTCTGCCTTGCTTTTCCTGGGCTACTGCTTTGTGGATGTTGGCGGCTTCTTGTTGTGACAGGAGAATGTGTGTGTGTCCTGGGCCCAGGCGGATTGGTATGTATTTTTTGTGCTCCTATTTTCTGAGTACTGTAATAGGAATTTGGAGGGGTGGTAGTGGGGTTGTGAATGTGAAGCAGTACAGAGAGAAAAAATAGTGTAATTTTCACAAAAGTATCACATTTGTGCAGAATGTTGATTTGTTCAAATGTGAAAAATTAGCAGGATGTTATGCATAATAAATAACCTATAATGAGTCTCTGACTGGGGAAAAGAAGGTATATGAATAAATATTATAATAATAATATTAGTAATAATTTGCACCATAGTTTTCTTAAACCGGCTTTCAGAAGCTTCTATTGGAAGGCTGGACCTAAACAAAACAAATAATCTCACTTGAATTAATGAGTCTTTAAACAAAGTTTTTTTAAAAGAACAGTAGGTCCTATAGTAAACTATGCAAAATTGAGCAAATATCTTCTGGATGAAAAGGAAAACTATTATGCCTGATTATACTTAGTAGATAATATATGTGGTTTCTTTCAGAGGCGGCTGTTGGTAGCTTCACCACCTCCTCATTGAACGCCTTCAGTTGTGGTTCAAAAATTTGGGCTGGCCTTAGATTGGTAGTGATAGGTAGGGTGTGTTCTATATGAATGCATAGCTTAGAAGAAAAGATGGTATTGCATGCAATCCACAGCAATCATTGACTGAGGTCAGAGTAAAGGTTTATTATTATTTATCAAATTTGTTAAAGCAACAAACAAACAAGGGTTTAGAAGCCTTGACTGAAGTTTTGTAGCTCCTAAATATTAGTAGTTATAAAACTTCAAAAAGACAGGTGATGGGGTGCAGCAAATTTATTATAGGATATTAAGAATGTAATCCTATGCTTGTTTGGAACTAAGTCCCATTAAACTGAGTATGACTTACCTTTTGATTAAACAAATGCACATATATGTATTGTACACACTTGACCTTAAATTTGTAAAAACTGAGGGAGGCGTTGGAAAAATTAACATAAGTAACAATATGAATAAATAAAATCTTGGGCTGGATAAACTTAACTTCTCCTTCTCACTGCCAGTTCAGAAATGGAGACCGTCTTCAAGAAGTCGTCTTGAATCTCAATCTATGACTCTTCTTCATACTGTAACCTTTAGTTGACTTTTCACACTCCCAATATAAAGTTCTGGTTAAGTTAGTACAGCTGTAAAAATAGGTCACTCTGTTTATAGTTCTACACAAGTATAACAGTGTGAACTGAGATATGTTCTCCTTGAGGAAATTTAGCCTTAGATTAGTCTATTAAACTTTCATTAAATGTGTTGCTGTTTTTGTCAGTTAATTGCTGTTAATTAATTGTGCATATTAAATTGTCATTTAGAATAAAGTAGTTGATATGTATTGTTTCCTTTAAAATTATTTCTAAGCTTACTTATTGCTTGTGTTTCCCCCCGCAGCAATTCCAGTCAGAAACCCCAGGTTGCCATTGTTCTCTGATGCCATGCCAGCACCAACTCAGCTATTGCTCCCATTAATTCGCAGTTGTGAGATTGGCAAGATATACAACACCGCATGCTACTGTCATCATAAACATCTATGTTGCTTGTCACCTCACTTAACTCACAATCATTTGAGGTATGTTCCTCCGAAGAAGTTTGCAACACTCAGTAGGCCGAAGGAGAATTTCAGTCAGTTTATTCATGCAAGAAACTATGTATCCACACCACAGAGGTTTTACCTCACACCTCCGCAAGTCAACAGCATCCTGAAGGCAAATGAATACAGTTTCAAAGTGCCAGAGTTTGATGGCAAAAACTTAAGTTCTGTCCTTGGCTTTGATAGCAACCAGCTTCCTGCCAATGCACCAATAGAAGACAGAAGAAGTGCAGCCACTTGCTTGCAAACAAGAGGAATGCTGCTTGGTGTGTTTGATGGCCATGCAGGATGTGCCTGTGCACAAGCTGTCAGTGAAAGACTGTTTTATTACATAGCTGTTTCTCTGTTACCCCATGAGACTTTACTTGAAATAGAAAATGCTGTTGAGAGTGGTAGGGCCCTGTTGCCCATCTTACAGTGGCACAAGCACCCCAATGATTATTTCAGTAAAGAAGCCTCCAAATTGTATTTTAACAGCTTACGAACTTACTGGCAGGAACTCATAGACCTTAACACTGGGGAGACAACTGATGTAAAAGAGGCTTTAATTAATGCCTTTAAAAGGCTTGACAATGACATTTCTTTAGAAGCTCAAGTAGGCGATCCAAATTCTTTTCTCAATTATTTGGTACTACGTGTAGCCTTCTCTGGTGCAACTGCTTGTGTGGCGCATGTTGATGGAGTTGATTTACATGTTGCTAATACTGGTGACAGCAGGGCCATGCTTGGTGTCCAAGAAGAGGATGGATCTTGGTCTGCTGTTGCTCTGTCTTATGATCATAATGCACAGAACGAAAGTGAGATTGCACGACTCAAAATGGAGCACCCAAAGTCTGAAGAAAAGAGTGTTGTGAAACAAGATAGACTGTTGGGCCTACTGATGCCTTTCAGAGCTTTTGGAGATGTCAAATTTAAATGGAGCATTGACCTTCAGAAAAGAGTGATAGAGACGGGCCCAGATCAGCTCAATGATAACGAATATACAAAGTTCATCCCACCAAACTACCATACTCCTCCATACCTCACAGCTGAGCCAGAGATAATACATCACAAATTAAGACCTCAGGACAAATTCCTGATATTGGCAACAGATGGCTTGTGGGAAACCATGCACAGGCAGGATGTGGTTAGAATTGTAGGTGAGTATCTTACAGGTGTTCATCATGAAGAACCAATAGCTGTTGGAGGTTACAAGGTAACTCTGGGACAGATGCATGGTCTTCTAACAGAAAGGAGAGCACGGGTCTCTTCAGCCTTCGAAGACCAGAATGCAGCAACTCACTTGATACGCCATGCGGTTGGAAATAATGAGTTTGGTACCGTTGATCATGAACGGCTGTCAAAGATGCTCAGTCTTCCAGAAGAGTTGGCTCGGATGTACCGGGATGATATCACAATTATAGTGGTGCAATTTAATTCCCATGTTATAGGTGCATGTCAAAATGAAGAGTTTTAAATTTTAAACTGAAACGTGTGAACCAAAGTTTTCACAGAACAAAATGGCCAGTACTGACTGCATGACATGATAGTGAAACTTATTTGATTAATCTCTGGTCGTCAGAATTACAGTTGAAGCAAGTATAATTTGCACAAATTGAGCAATGGTCAAAGGGTTTTCAAATTAAGCTACCAGGAGAGCAGAACAACTTGGAACAACTTTGCACTATTCAACCTATCTGCTTGAACAGTGGTTTGTAATTTGGGATTTCTTGGTGGAGAAGTAAAGGCTTTGTATGCATCAGTGCAATGACTTGCAAGGCAAAAAAATATATTGTGTGTTTTGTCACATGTAAATATCTGTATAGGTAGGTATCTCCAGTAACTATACAGTACATTGGAGGGTAACTTGGTTGTAAATTTGAATTTAAATAGGGCTGATGACTTTTTTATTTACAAAGTAGCTATGGTGTCTTCCCTTTAGGAAAGGAAGAGAACTTTTTAACTGGTTGGCAAATGTCTTGATAGAAGCTATCCTCTTGGTCTTGAGTAATGATATATCATTTGAAACACATGCCTAGAATACCACTGTTAAAAAGAGTAAGTCTAAGCCATAAATACCTTAAGCCTGTCCAAACATAGTAGTGGAATAAAATTTTGCACCAGATGACTTACTTTGAGAAGATTATATTTTGCACAGTTCAATGGGCAATAAATGATGATGAGAAAATGGGTTAACTATGGGGGACATGCAAAACAACTTTGACTTGCATTATGAAACTATGATTCTACGTTTTCTGAAACTTGAGCTAATTTTCAATAGGGCTGTCTTGCAAAACATGGCAAGCAACAGTCTTGACTTGTACCAAACCTATTTCCAGTCATAAGTCCCTGGTCTTGTGTATGAACCTAGGCAATCAGTAGTGACTTTGTAAACTAGTGTAGTCACATATGTTGTAGTTTGAGTGACAGTTTGGTTGGTGTTTTGGATATTTTAAGTATCACGACGCAAAAGCATATCCATATAACATGGTTCTCACGTTGGCTTTTGAAGAAAGCATTGTGATAAGATTTGTAAATAGGTCAAGTAATGGGGAAACAGCTGCATGCTCCTCCTACTGGCCTTCCCACATTAATTGTAACACCTTTCAAAATACCATTGTTAGTTGTGCACATTTGATTGCATCCAAAAAACTCCTAAAAGTGCATGTTTCATCACAAAGCTTTGTGCCACTGTCGCATAGAATGCTTATGAATTGTCAGATAAAAAGCATTTTTGGCAACCACAAGTTTTATGTTCTGAAGCACAGTGTAATATTTAAGACTTCTCCCAATATAAAAACAAAAATTGCTTTTTTTTGTTATTATTAAACTGTAGTATAGCTATGATAGAAAGCATCATGCAAACATTACTTTGACTAGCTATTGTCTAAATATGAAGCACTTGTAGATAAAATTAACATTTTTATGCTTCTCTAAATAGCTAATAAGCATTCTACTTTAAATCTTCCTCTTCACATAGCTATTGAGCTGACACATTCTGAAGAATGTTGGTGTTCTTGACCATGTGGATGCTTAAAAAGAGAGTCAAGGAATAGTGCTTCCAGAGTATTCCTGTTACAAAATACTTTATTGCAGCACTTAAGTTCCTTAGCAGTAATGTTCCCTTTTCTTTTTTCTGAGCACTGAAGGGCATACTTTCTTATAAAGTAACAGGTTTGAAAATGCAAGTGTCAGAAGATATTCTTACTTCATATGCTTATGAAGTAACCTACACATTCGAAGTCCTGTCCATAGCTTTGACAAATTGTTGTTCTCCCTTTGTGTGCAAGAAAAGTAATTAAGTTATCCTATTTTTCCAGACCCTAACCTGAATGTTTTTATTGTGCTAATGACAAAACCAAGCAGCTTATAATCTTCATTGCCTTTGTACATGCAATATGACGAAATATCATTGGCTAGGTCAATTTCTTTTATTTATGTGTTGGCTACAAAATAATTCTAAACTGTTACATTATCCAGACTTCCTTATGTTACTTGTGAAATGTACAGTACGTGTAAATGTCTTATTTTGGTTTGGTACTAGTCTTAACAAATTGAACCCTCATCCTGTATGTTTAGCACTTGGTGTGGGGGCAACTTTGTAAAATGCAAGGTGAACAAGATTTAACTGAAGACTCCCAAAATATGTATGCAATGAACTGAAACAGCATTGTGGCTTTCTGAACATCACGTGATAAGATCTTAAGAACAAATATCTTTTAGTAGACTTCAATAAAATTATTATATGAATATCAATGCATTAGAGTTGTTATTAGGATTCATTGAACTATTGGTTTGCCTTTCTGAGATGGTGTAAAGTGTCAGATTTGATCAGTGGATTTATATCTAAAATAGTAGAATTAATGTATGGTTTTATGAAGATGCACACGGTAAAGCTCTCCTGTCTCAAGACAACCTGCAATTGGAATAAATAGCTGGTTATATGAGTTAGAACAGAACTAGTTTTGCTTTTTTCGTTTGCTTTGTCCACTGATTTAGTTTCCTCCATTTTATTTTGTTGCCCCAAATTCACAGTGGGTGGAATATGTGGCTTTGGGCTGCATTTTGGGAAACAGCTGAGGCAATGGGGGCAAATGTTGTTCAGATACTGGCTTTAAGGAAAAGCAAACTTAAAAATATATAGTAGTGAATAAGGAAATTGGACTTCAGTAGTTTCACAATAAAACTCAAGCAAGGTGTAGCTTTGTGAAACAAACTAAGAGCCCTGCTATTCCTTCCCATGTGATTTTTTCTGGTCATTCCCTTCAGTAGGAAAACAAGTCTCATTTTAGTTATGCTCTGACAGCATATCTCAGGCTTCCTCAACCTCAGCCCTCCAGATGTTTTTGGCCTACAACTCCCATTATCCCTAGTTAGCAGGACCAGAGGTCAGGGATGATGGAAATTGTAGTCTCAAAACATCTGGAGGGCCGAGGTTGAGGAAGCCTGGCATATCTTATGTTGGGGGGGGCATTCTATGTGTAAATGGTGCCTTCCCTTGAGCTAAATGATTCTAATGTAGGGTACATGTTAAGTAACCCTGTTTAAAACCCGTTTAACTTCCCTATTGACTTTCCAAAGGGGAAATGGGAATAGTGAAATTAGCCATTCATTGGTGAATTTTCTGGAAAGCTGCTGGGTACCCATATAAATGCCAGAAGTCATTCTTTTACTGAAGTCTCCATTTCATGGCTTTTTATATGTCTGCTAAACTTGGGACGCGAGTGGCGCTGTGGGTAAAACCTCAGTGCCTAGGACTTGCCGATCGCATGGTTGGCGGTTCGAATCCCCGCGGCAGGGTGAGCTCCTGTCGTTCGGTCCCAGCTCCTGCCCACCTAGCAGTTCAAAAGCACCTCCAAGTGCAAGCAGATAAATAGGTACCGCTTTATAGCGGGAAGGTGAAGGCGTTTCCGTGCGCTGCACTGGTGCTGGCTCACCAGAGCAGCTTCGTCACGCTGGCCATGTGACCCGGAAGTGTCTTCGGACAGCGCTGGCTCCCAGCCTCTTAAGCGAGATGAGCACGCAACCCCAGAGTCGGACACGACTGGCCCATGCGGGCAGGGGTACCTTTCCCTTTACCTTTAAACTTGCCCTAATTCATCGAACAAATTTCCAAATCGTTCCCTAGATATTTCCAATAAAAAAGTACACATATGCTGTAAGGTGCATTGATAATAAGCATGGTTACTTAGTAAATGTTGTTAGGATCCTTAATTGGTAAAATACTTTGGGTATATTTTTCAATTATGTTCTTAGGATTTCTAACAGGAATTTAAGACCATATGTGGCGCTGTGGGTAAAAGCCTCAGCGCCTAGGGCTTGCCGATCGAAAGGTCGGCGGTTCGAATCCCCGCGGCGGGGTGCGCTCCCGTTGTTCGGTCCCAGCGCCTGCCAACCTAGCAGTTTGAAAGCACCCCCGGGTGCAAGTAGATAAATAGGGACCGCTTACTAGCGGGAAGGTAAACGGCGTTTCCGTGTGCGGCTCTGGCTCGCCAGAGCAGCGATGTCACGCTGGCCACGTGACCCGGAAGTGTCTCCGGACAGCGCTGGCCCCCGGCCTCTTGAGTGAGATGGGCGCACAACCCCAGAGTCTGTCAAGACTGGCCCGTACGGGCAGGGGTACCTTTACCTTTACCTTTATTGTGTTTATGCCTGAAGCAAAATAGTGAATGCTAAAGATGTTTTGCCTTGCTTGCTGGCTTCCCATTATTCTTCAAGAGATACTTTTAAAGGTTGCTTGCCTTCTGAAAACCGGCTTTTACATTAGGCCTGTTGTATTCAGGAATTTTTCCGTACTCCACATGACGTTTGCACGGCTGCTATAGCCTGGTCTGTCATGATTCCTTGGATAATCCACTTCAGTTATATATCTCAACTAAATATAACTTATGGAGAGGTTTATCCCCTTTTCTCCTAACCTTCAGCTAGTGCATCTGATGGCACGAAGGCTTAGTGTAACATTATTGACTATCTGCAATCTGTTATGACATTCAGTAATTTAATTACTGTTTTACATAAGCTAAACTTTACTAGAGGCTAGTTCTTTCTAAGCAATGCTAAAAAAATTAAGTTATGGAGAAAATGGTTTAACACCTTTGGGTGTATTTCTGTCTGAATGTACCATATTAATGGGAAGAACATTATGTTCAGAACAAAATAACTATTGGCCAGAAAACACTTTCCTGTGCACAGCTCTATGTATTAAGAAGAACTAGCTTACATAATTTTTTTTTACTCTTTTACACATTCAAATATGGGGGGGGGGCTTTTTATTTACCCACAGTAGATCCCTAGAGATACCCACCATCCTTTGATCTAGTATAATTTCAGAAATGGGGGGGGAAATTCTGAATTAAATTTCTAACCACTTGTGATCATATTTATAGAATGGAATTCTAATATCTGTATGGGAGGAGGCCTGTGTTGCAAGATTGTTCTAGCCCCTCAGAAATGTTTCAGCTGCTTACCACAGTCTTAATTTCCATGTTCCACTCAAAACAGACGTGGCTCACACAGCAATTGGAATATTGGATCAGATCAAGGGCCTATTTAGTCCAGCATTCTGTTTCTGAAGGTCTTAACTAGATCAGTGTTTCCCAACCGGTGTTCCGCGGCACACTAGTGTGCCACGAGACGTTGCCTGGTGTGCCGTGGGAGGGAGGCGGGCGAGTCGGGCGGCGAGAGGCGGGGCGGCGGCGGCGAGGATCCGCGTCGAGCTGGGGGCGGCTCCGCGGTGGTGGTGCCGAGGTTTCTCTCTCCATTCTCCCCTCACACACACACACACACAGGAAATAACACAGGATCAGCTGACAGGACCCGGCCAATGGGGCGGCGGCGGGGCAGCGCGCGCAAAAGGGAGGAGCGCGAGACGACGGCGCCGCAGGGCGGGAGGGCGGCGCATTGCGCGTGCTCAAACCCGCCCTCCGAGGCGCAGAGGGGAGCTGGGCAAGCGCCTTCTTCAACCACGCGCTCGTTTAAAGAGGCAGCGCCCGGGCGGAACAGAACTCTGTGCCTCTCGCCTAGGGATGAAGGCGGGCACCGGCTTAAGCCAGTAGTAGCCTAATAATGCATTAACTTCCGTGGGACTTCCAAGTAAACACAGTAGCCCAGCGCCTCCCTCCCCAAAAGGAGGGGGAATTACAGCAGCGCAGGCGACTCCTGCGTCTCCCCGATATTTAAGGCTGCCATCCCTCGTGCACACTTACGCGGGAGCAAAACCCCGTGAACAAACTAGGGCTTACTCCAGAGTAAATACGGGTAGGATCTGGCTGCAGTTGTACAAGAAGAAGCAATTCATAACGTTTTCGCGCCTTCGGGATTGCCTTCACGCCTTCCTCCTCCCGGGTCCTTGAGAGCGCGGGAAGCGGCAGCGCGAGACCGGCGTTGAGCCTGGTAGGTATTGCGCTTGCCAAGGCAGTCATTTGGGAAATGAAAACTTGCAAAGCAAGCAACCAGTTCAATCTGAAGTACGTGTATGCTTAATATCCTGTATCTGAAACCTGTTCTGCCCCCTCCCCCACACTTGGTGCCATTTTCATCTACACATGCAGCAGAGTAAGCTGACCCAGAATAGTACCAATTCAGATGGCAGATGGGAGAATGACAGTGCTGAATGCTTTCCCATGTAGAACAGTCCCTGCAAATAAAAACCTAGCATATTTGGAAGAGGGATGCTAGCCTAACCATTACCTTCTATGCTGTTACTATTTTTTTATTTTTTTTTACATAAGTAAAAAGTGACCTTTCCCCATCTGGCATGGTGGTGTGCCTCGAGATTTTTTTCATGAAACAAGTGTGCCTTTGCCCAAAAAAGGTTGGGAAACACTGAACTAGATATCTACGAGAAGTCAAAAAGCAGGAGAGCAATAGCCCTCTCCCACTGCTGTTCTCCAGCAAATGGCATTCAGGACATGATGATTCTCAAGAAGGCATATTTAGCCGTCCTGACTAGTAGGCATTGAAAGCCTTACCCTCCATCACAAATTCATTTAATCCCCTTTTAGAGCAATCTAAGTTGGTGACTGTCACCACACCTGGAGATAAATTGCTCAGCTATGTGCTGAGTGAAAAAGTACTTATGTCTACCCAGGATATCCCATGCAGATTTACCGAATGACCTCATAAAGCTAGATAAAGAACAACTACCAACTTTCTCCACACTATGCGATCATTTTATATTTTTCTTACCATGTTCCCCTTACTTGCTGCTTTCCTAAACTTAAAAGAACCCCAAATCTTCCCCTTAGGAGAATTGCTTCAGCTCCCAAACAGCAGCTTAACTAGAGGTTGTGAAGAATTATAGAATTGTAGAGTTGGAGGGGGGGGTCATCTAGTCCAACCCCCTGCAATGCAGGAATACATTAAGAAGGCAAGCAATACTCTTCCCATGTGTGTGTCTATATATAAAATACATAACACTCACCCACATTGTGCTTTTTCTTTCTGAGTGGCCAGCTCCCTGGCAAATTCCCTATCTGGCAGAAGCAAAACTGTTGATTCCAGAATCTCAGAGATACTCCATCTTCCTTCCTACTTTCTCAATAAACAACCTTTGCTTCTCAAAGGCTATTCAGGCAGTCTACACAAAAATGGATTTGCCCACACTTCTCAGCTTTAGATGGCTGGAGTTCTTGTCCTTTCCACTGCATTTTTCAGTTGCAGTTAAAAGAAGCAGAGCTACACTTCCTAGCACTGACAATGTATTTGGCCTTTTGCAATTTAAGTAACACACTTAATTTGGTTTTGCTCTGTTTATT